TCGCCCGATGTTCCCTATCTGTCGCGAATTATTTATCGAAATCGAATGCTGAATCACTCGCAGAGTGGGAATTCGGTAGAGAATGATCGATTCTTTTTATCAAAGGAGCGCGAATCATTCGCATCTGAAAGATGAATTCCCCGATCGGAGATCCAATCTCGCCGCCATTCTGTCGATGATCGATGGACGAGGATTCGATCGATTTTTGAAGAACGAACAACGAACGAAGCCTCTGACAAATCGATCCCGCGTATCTCAATGAAACGCGATTAACGAAGCTTTCTCGAACTTTTGCGTAAAATATATCGTTTGCATTCCCTGCGTTTGTCTTCTTAAAACTCTCGCAACATCGAACGAAAAGTGAACCTTCCCTTCTAAACCTTCTAAAAGAACAGAAAATAGAAGAAAATTGCTAAAACAAAAAAATAAAAAAATAAAATGAAAACAAACAGAAAAGATATGAAATATGAAATTCGTAGAGGATCGCGAATCATAGAATTCAAGTTTTCTACGGGATTTATGCGAATTAGAAACCTCCGAGTTCCTCGGGTGTACTTGTAAAAAGAAAAAGCGTTTAAAAAATTCCATACAATGATACATACACGATTTCGGTAAAAATACGAATGCGATAAAAAGACGCGAGATTTTTTTTTTTACAGTTTTTTGCCTAATTCATAATAAGGGTTACATGCATGTATGTATATACACGTTGCGTTTATCTTTTTTTTTTCTTTTTTTCATTATTTTTCATTTCGATTTACGAACGAATATACATTGTAATCCTGTCACCTACGTTAAAAAGAACGACCAGTATATGGATCGAGGGATCGTTAGATTAAGATGATCGATGATGAGGACGCTATTTAAAAGCTCTTGGGAATTAAACAAACGAGACGGAGCAATGGATGTAATCACGAAATTTCGTCTCGAGAAAGGCAGAGCCTCCATTAGTAATTCTTTGTCGTTACGTCTAATGAGATAAACAACGGTACCGTGGAAGAGGAACCAAAGAACAGGATGTCTCCTGCGAGGAAGAGACCTGGCATGGTCTCTTCGAGAACGTGTCGGAGAATATATCCGTGAAGTTGAAGAAGCAGTGGCCAAAAGGCTCGGTATCTTTTACAGCTCGCAAGACGGACTTAACATCGAATCAGAGTCGGCAGCTCTGACTCGATCGCGATAATAACTAAACTTACCAATATCGGACAAACCTACCGTATAATCCTAAGAAACACAAAAAGATCACCCATATTGATCACAAACTACCAAACTCAGGAAAAATCACGAAAAAATATGTAGCTACATCGAAGACGGTCTTCGACCTCTTAGTAAACTCCTTACCCCTAACTGAGCAACCTAATCCCGACCTAACCTTTCGAACCACAAGCTCAACCCCTAACGATACCATAGACACACCATCTCTTCGCGAATCCTCTCCATCATAGGATGCCGGAAAGCCTCGAGAAAAGCTGCAGCGACCTCGTTCACGATGATCGGGATCAGCGGGACGCGTAGCGTGGACGGTGAGAAGGTCCTGGCGAGGCGGTACTGCGCGTTCGAGAGAAGAAGGCACAGCGCGTTTACATCCTCACGGCTAATTAACTACGCTGACACTGCCATGGTCACGAAACAGTGACCACTATTGGCCGAAAACGGTGACAGAGGACATCGGTCACTACCTGTGACTACTATTGGCCGAAAACGGTGACAAAGGATATCGGTCACTATCCGTGATCAAGGGAGTATCAGCGAAGTTAATCAGCCGTGAGGATGTAAACACGCTGTGACTTCTTTCCTTGAACGCGCTATACCACGCCAGGATGGTCGCTAGGTGGTGAGAAAACTGGTGGTGGTAGCGGCGGTGGTAGCGAAAGAAACCAAGGGAACACAGGCAGCTAGAGGCGAGCACCGGGTGCACCGCGTTGCTAGTCGGCCTGGCTCTCCTTAGCATTAACACGCGATATACCAGAAAAACCAGTTTGCGGGCTTTTTATTAGGCCTTTACTTTCGCTTGCAAACTGAAAGGAAGAGTGAGCGAGCGAGCGAACGAGGCCTGGATAGAAGTTAGCCGGTGAGCGAGCAAGCGAGCAAAGTGACTGACTGAGCTGACTAACGGGGTCACCAGTCGATACGATACGGACACGCACATAAAAGAGAGACGCCAAGTCGCGAGCACACGTACCCTCTCCCTCCCGCGCCGCGCGCACACACGCACCTGTGTCGGTGGCTGCGCGCCGCCGGAGTGGGGGTAGACAGAGACGCGGCGCAGACGCGACGGAGAGACAGAGACGCGTGGACCGTTGCGGAGGGCCGTGTTCGCTGGTGTATTCCCTGTGCGCGTATAGAACGGATTATACACACGCGGATACACACACACGCGTGACCGATGAACGTGTACGCACCGGCAGCGATTCGCGGGGACGATACAGTTTGCGAGTTCGTCGCACGGAGTACGTTTTATTATGCAAATACGGTTTGTCACGGCCAGAGAAACGTAGACACGCGAACCGCGCGTATAATTCGCTTCTCGTGGCGGCGCACCATCGCACGGTCTCAGCTACGGTATTAAATAGTTACGGTATCGAGAAGAAAGAAAAGTTATGCAAGCAGCTCTGACTGTTGCCACCGTCGCTGCCGAGGGACTAGGGTCGCCGCGAGGATCACTCGATCGCACGTACGTGTGTGTGTGTGTTGGGGCTGTGTTCGTATGTCTGTGCATGTTCGAATGCGTGTATTGGTTGCGCGTGATGTGTGTAATTTTACGTTTACGTGTTCCGATGAAGGGTTTTTGTCTTCTAATTTTCTCGGATCGTGTCCGTCGCGTCCTTCCACCACAGTTTTCACACTTTTTCGCTCTTTTGCCTTTGCTCCGAGTTAATATTGGAATTGGAAAAATCTGTTCCGAATGGTCTCTTTGCGTCTCGTATTTGTCATGCGTGTTTCTTTCTACTTTCCACTTTCTTTTTTTTTTTGTTTTTTTTTTATGTTTTTCGAGTTTTCTCTGTTTTCTTTTTCAGGGCGATAAACGACAACTCGTTTCTTTTAGCTGGATCAACCACCGTCTCTGTTTACCATGTGCTCGCGTGTATATATATATATATATGCGTGTGTATACGTGTTTGTCAGGTGTTTACGTTCTTTTTCTTTGTTTGCTCACGCGACGTGACAGCGCTGATTCGCGCGGAAATAAAGAAAGGACAGAAACGAATGGGAACGTCTCTCACCCCTCGACCATCAATTCCCACCTTCACCCTTCCCTCCCTGCGCCATTACTCACCCCCTCTCTCATTCTCTCTCTCTCTCTCTCCGCGTACAAATTCTCGTTCTCTCTCCCGTTGTCGCACCGATCGCGCCGCTCATCCTCGATTTTTCTTTCAATCTTATATATCACGTTACAGTAGTATCTAAATGAAATGTGTTCACAGCCACACATTAATATTTATACATAGATTTTATACATGTATTTATATATTTAAATATACATATATATATTTAAGCAATTGCTTATTTTTCGTGAAATCCGTGTGTGTGTTACCACTACCTTTCTTTTAGTACACGTTCTCGAAACATTATGTTCATTCGTTATATATTTTTTTTTGCATTTTTTTATTTTTTGTTTTTCTTTTTATTCGTTTTTTTCCGTCTGGGAAAAGAGAAAAGAAAGAGGGACGACCGTGGAACGCTGACGGACCGCGCTTCCATGCGCGCCATCAGTCGTTTCTCTTACTCTCCGACCCGACTCCAGGCGCCCTCTGCCCCTTCGTTTTTTCCCCCCGGCGCCGGCGTCCTTCCAACTCCTCGATATTCCTCCGCTTCGGCTCTCCTCGATTCCGAGTCTTCGTCGTCGCGTGTTCATCCACCTCGCGATCCTCGTTTCTTCCGTCTCCATTTGGAATCACTTGGCGAGCCGACGCCGCCGCGTGGCGGCGCCACCGTTTCCCGGGGACTCTGAAAAAGCCTGTGTTCTTTTACGACGCGCGCACAGTCTCTGTCTCTCTCGCGCCACCGTGCGAATCATATGCGTCCGTCTCGTTTTATCGACGCGCGCACCGACAAGAGTATAACGTAAATTCGTCGTATCCTTTCCGCGCGTGCGCAAACGGATTCCGTTTCTCTCCACCATCCCGTTCGAATTCCTTAGGCACAACACATTTTCTGTTACTCTATCTATTCGTTTCGCTTTATCTTTTTTTTTTTTTTTTTTTTTTAGTTGATCCCCTACGACCGTGTTACAGCAAGTACCATCGTGTTTTTGGTCCTCCCCCGCGACAATTGATCGTCCACCGCAGCCGGATAAACGCGTCCAGGAGAAACGCAAAGATGCACGGACGGAAACGCACAGTATTACAAATCGAATGTTCCCGCCCTTGGCTCGGGTTTCCGTTTCTCCCGGTCTCTCAGTCTTCCGTGAACCTGTTTTCACTGTCACCGATCCGCTCCAACGATAGACACCGTACCCCACGATCCGTCACCGAGTCGATCTTCCAGCGGGCCCGATCTTCCTTCGTCTCGTTCCGACCAACAGATACCTCGCGTCTACGTCACACTCCGGATAGATCGGTATTAGGTGTTGGACGCGTGTCCAAGCGTCAACTGAGGACCAAGCAGTGCTCGTTTGGCCCACAGCCGTGAACGATCGACGGTCGACGAGCGCCTTCCTCGAGATATTCGGACAAACGGGGACCATCGCGATGATCCGAATCGCGTCGATCGTAACTCGATCGAGGACGACGTTCGGTCTCGTCGTGGTCGGTAAGCAGAGTCTCGTCGATGATTCCGTCGTCGGCAAAGATCGCAGAGATGTCGCGGACGTCGGTGACCGTGCCGTTGGTGACGTTGGCGGTGTTGGTGGTGGTGTTGTTGTTGTTGTTGTTGTTGTTGTTGGTGATGATGGTGGTGGTGGTGGTGGTGTTGGTGGTGGTGTTGGTGGTGGTGTTGGTGGTGGTGTTGGTGGTGGTCGTAGCGGTGATGATGGCGGTGCTAGTGGCGACGATGGAATTGGCGTCGATGTCGCATCACGACGAGCACGCCATCCACGAGTTGCAGGTGCACGTGTAGCACGCGGTAGGTATTACAGGAGCGTAATAGTAACCGTTCGCGTAAACGTAGGTGGCTGGCGGTCCAGGCGGTGCTTGCTGATGATTCGTCAGCCGTTGCTGTTGCTCCTCGCAGAACACCTGGAAGGCAAGGTTCTCGATCAGACCGAGGATCTGTCGTCTCTCGTGGCCCATCAGGCACACGGTGGACTCTTCCACCACGGTGCGGAGCAACATCAGGTACTGGTACTTGAGGGCGTTCTTCTCGGGCCCGACGAAGTGATTCCACAGGTAGTTCTCTAACTTGGCGCGTTGCTGACTGATGTCGGGGAAGTCGATGAAGAATCTCGAGCACATGTACCGCTCGAGGGTCCTTATGTAGTCGGGCTGCGAGGGTTTGTACATCTTCACCAGGAGATTGCAGTACTTGAGCAAGCCGCCACCGCGGATCTCTTCCGGATGCCTCGTCGAGATCAGCTTCTTGTGAAGATGATACAACGCTTCTTGGAAGTCACCGTACACCGATTCGCCCACCACCGTTGGATAGAAGTTCTCGCCGATCGGCAGCTTGCTGCACTCGTAGAAGAGGAGCAGGGAGTCGAGCACGATCTGGAACGAATCCACCGAGAACTCGAATTGCCGCCTCATCGAGTCTACGAACTTCAGCTCGACGTTCCTGTGACCTCGAGAGTTCCCGAGGGAGATCAGGGACCACCGGTCACCGTCGTTGTTCACTTTCACCATCTTGCTCACGTATGCCTCTTTCAGGCTGCAGGTGGTGATACGCTTGCGGCTGACACCTTCTGGCAGCAGGTCGAACAGGGAGCCGAGCACCGCGGCCTTCACCTTGTCGTAATTTCGCCCGCTCGACAGCTCCACGGCGAAGATCAGGTCCAGGTCGTTATACGGCTGCGACTCGGTGGCCAAAACGTGAGAGGCGGCGCCACCGTTCAGCCTTATGTCCCGTACCCTCATTCCGGCGCCACCGTTGCTCGGATCAGTCTCCAATTTGCTACGAACCACGGTAACCAGATCTCTCAATCGGACCTCCAGAGTCGGGAAGTTTCCACGACCGTGGATGCACACCACCTCGTTCATCACGTCGTTCAATCGTCTGACTTGCTCGAAGCTCAGCACCGCCAGCCTCTGCTGCGGATCCGGGCACTCTGAGTTGTTGTTATTGTTGCCGTTGTTCGCGTTCTCGTTGCCTCCGTTGCCGCCATTGCTCTTGGTGCCGTTCACCTGGCACAGGGACTCCATCATAGCGACCCGACGCTGGCGTTCCTCGCCGATCTCCAGGGAGCCACACTGTAATGGAAACCAAATGGAAGATGTTATTAACCGTCTGCCATTTCCACCTTCGGTAAGTTCTATTAAAGTACGCCGTTCTCTTAAATGGATATCGTTCGACATCCTAATGAATGTACTACATGGACCAAGTGGACGGAGAAAACTAAGCCAGTTGAACATCGTAATCCACCTTACGCCGTGTATCAGTTTCGATTGAATATGGTAATTGTTCGGTTTATATAACTCGTCGCGACGTACAAGTATGGCAAAGTGAAACTGTAAAAATGCAGAGACGCGTAGCAGATTAAATAAATATTCCGAAATTATACGGGCCACCTAGATTTAATCTCGGTGTTCTCGATAATTCTTTTAACAGAATGCCACGTCTCGCTATCAAACTTTTTTCAGCGCGAAAATATCTAAAAATACGCGGAATAAAGTTCAATCGCAATCACGGCAACGATAAAGCAGGCAATAAAAAGATGCAGAACAATGTCGCTCGGAATGAAGAAGAATCATGCCAGAAAACAACGGGGTTAATCATCCGGCTGTCACAGCGACCAACTACCGTGACAATGATCTCTCTAATCCGATAGACCACGCTGCTGATTGGTGACTGTCAATGGAAATCGTAAACGGCGATAGAGCGACAAATTAATCCAATCGTGTCACGAACAGATGGTCAATTTTAACACCGATTCGTTAGAACTCGAGGAACATCTCGGGCTCTGTTTAAATCGACGAGTCCTGTCGCTTCTAAACGCGCCCTTACAGAGTATCTACGTGTCTGTGAGGTAGATGTTCACGTTCAGAAATGCCACGAGGTTATGTCCGGGTACTCTGCACGAGCTGCTCCAAGTTCTCGCCCATCCTTCGAGATCGCTCGAACTTTCGTGTTTCTGCGAGAAAATCAAATCGTTTCTTACATCCTCGAAACATTCTGTCAACGAATGTGACTCGTGCACGACGATCTTTTTTCGAAATCGCAACTCGTTCGTAACTCGAAATAATCAACTGCTTCGTTGCAAGTTTCTAATCGAGTATAATACGAGAGAAAATAAAATTCGAAAACGATCGGAATCGCGCTTTTTCGATATTTCGAAAGATCGCTTTGTATGTCAAAGGCGTGTCAAAAAATTCCTCCGCGTTCCGAGAGATTCCGAAACTCAGCTGTTTCAAAAGATTGCGGAACACTCCGACCGGTTCCTTAGTATTCCAAAATATTCTAGTATCGCAACAAATTCTCTAGCGTTTCAAAATTCCCGCGGTTTCAAAAGTCCTTTTGACATTGCGGGGATTCCTCGGTGTTTCAAAATGTTTCGAAAGTATCCCCGATGTTTTCACGTTCCGAGAGAAGCGTGCACATTAAGGAACATCGAATCTCCAAGATTAACATATTCCATAAAATAATTAAGATTCGAAAAAAATGTAGCGTTTGAAAAAATATTTAAAATATTTCTCAGAAATGCGACAAGTTCCTCAGCACTGTTATTTATCAGAAAAAATTATCATTCCCTATCAACTCTATCGAAAAATCCCAAAAGATTGGAATTATTTCGAAAGGGTAGCAAAGATTTCGCATTACCTATTCCAAAGACTCGACAAGACTCGTATCACCTCGACAGATCGGAAAAGGAATTAATAGAACACCTCGGCAAGGTTCCGCGAAGGTTCCAAAAATCGATCAGGACCTCGATCACGTATGATCCAACGGGTCTACGTCATCGGACGGTCCCCTGGCAGTCAGCTGTTGAAGGTAAACAGCGAACTCGGTTGCAGAGCGAAGGGAACTCGATTCGTGGAGCAACTGGGCCACACGGTGCAGATAGTTCGTTCCTCGATTCGTTCACGGTCGCGACACGACGTTTAATTATCGTTATTTCATTAGCAGATAGCGGGGCTTCGTCGATCACGGCCCAAGAGGCATCGTTAAGCTTATCGACGTCGAGCTCTCGCGGCTTCAATATTAATCAGACTGGCCGATAAAATCGGTCGTTAAACTGAAATTCCCGGATCGACTGGACAGTAGTCTACGTCGCTGCAGCATACGCCGCTCTCCTTTCCGTCGTCATTCTCTCACCGTGCACTTGGGAATACAGCACCTAATCACGGTAACTTCGTTAGCTAATAGCCCCACGCTCGATTACCACTCCGTTGCGTCACACTTTTCGATCCACTTCGCGACGTGCACCATTAGACAGAACAGACATCTAGCAGACAACCAGGCGAATTGTCCTTTTCGCCTGTCTTGCACCGGCTAGCAGTCAGCTCCCGGGAACATTCCAGTTGCTCCGAAAATGCAAACGCGAATTCGATAACGTTCCCTTTTCCTCTCTTTTTACACGAGCCCGAATCACTTCTCGTCGAGGATAAAGACTGATAAGGCTGGCTGTTAAGCTGTAGATACCGTTATCGCTTTCTTCCTATTAGCAGTGATAGCGGTTGCGTTGCGTCACATGTTCCGATTCGAATTGCACGAATTTCCAGTCGCTAACTGGGCAAGACTGTAGAGACACCTTCGAGGTAACTATTCTACGAATTCTTTAGCTAATTCCCCGAGCAGACGCTCGTCAGACCTGTACCTCGATCGGCACCTGAGCAGGAACTAGTCCAGCTCTATCATCAGGAGATCATCCGTGCCGGACACGTAGCCCTCGATCGCACTTTCCTCTTATTCCACTAAATATTCCGTCAGTGAGACAAACGCGTGTGACATACTTTCTACGCATCCTCGTGCATATACCTATCCCACAAACATCCTCAGTGCCCACAGAGCCAAGCGTCTGTACCGTAACACTAGGACCACGATGAACAAACGTATTACCGCGATTATATTAGCAAGCCACGGGGATTCACCTCAGCCGGCTGACCAGCTCAGGCTACTTTCACTCGGCCAGGGTGATCACTCTCCGTCTAGCCGATCGCGAAATAATCCAACCACCACCTGTGGAGCACGCGTCCGACGTTCCAGCCTTTCTCGCTTCCCTTTTCGCCTCCTCCGCCTTCCGTCGTCGACCAACTGACCCTTACCATGAAGAACAACCGCTCGGATGCCCTGGTCTGGCTGGCTCTCTATCCGCTTGCTCTAAGCACTAGTCACCTTTGATGACGTCCAATAGTCACGCGTCGAGAACCCGGTCGCGTCTCTCTCGATTGGAACTGGTCGAGTTTGAAGGATGGTCGAAACGAACTGGTCGAGTTTGAAGGATGATTGGAGCGAACTGGTCGAGTTTGAAGGATGCTTGGAACGAGCTGCGAGAGTTCAAAGGATGCTCTGGACCAACTGGTCGACTCACTGGGGTCCACGGAGGGTCCAGGTGGGCAGAGGCGAGATGGCGAATCGTCTGGCACGAAAAGTTCGCGCGCGGAACGGAGAACGGTCTCGCGGACGGTCCGCTGAGGCGAGCAGATCCGCAGCTGATGAGAGGCAACAGCGAACTGAGGCCAGCGCGGTGAAAGGCGTACGAGGAAGACTGGCGGCGGCGGCGGCAGTGGCGGCGACACCATCAACAGCAGCGGTAGCGACGTCCCGAGCGTATCAGGGGGGCAGCACAAAGCTACCACCACGCTATCGACGCCGAGCTCTGCCTCCGTAAATCTGATCATCGTGCGTTCTAGATGAATGTCTGTCCGATGTTGCCTGGATTTTCAGCGGAAGTGCCGGCGTGACGCGTGTCGTGGCTACTCGGTGAACTCGGCCGAGTGTCGCGCCATTGGCGTGCTTGGTATCGTTGTGTTTAGGCTGCTAGTACGGTTCGGTGTACTTGTTCTTTCGGAGTATTCGTGTTTGCCTGTGGCTACTGAGTATTTACCTCTAATTTCATGAATATTAATTCCCTCGTTTTTCTCTCTCGCTATTATTGAAAATATTCAATATTAAAGATGCATTCGTATCTTTATTATGTATATTTTCTGATACTCTATCTCGCGATTTTTTACTGGCTCTTATTTACGAGTACTTTATCGTGGTCTCTTGCACATCCTGCATGGCAATTTTTTGTTACGAAATTGTACGAAGGCTGACTAATTCGTTATTTTTAGTACCATCACGAGTGTCTATTTATAATACTCGCTAGGAATATGTTTATCTGTGATTAAGAGAAACGTGGTATTTAATATTTGGTTTTCCGTATCGTGTTCCTTTCCTTGTTATTTTGGATTTAACGACAATGGGTTATCAATTATTTTCGAATATGCTGTTCTAAGGTACCAGAGAACGAAATCTCGACGCGAGGCTGGGATTAAAAAGTTGAGCGATTAATCTGCGAGATCTTCCGTTGGATGATTAATCGTTTTGGATGTTATTCGAACTGTGGAGAGGTTGATAAACGACCAAACTTCTTCGAAATCGCGGAATGAAGAAAGAATTGCGTGTTACAATTATCACCTGCGTATTACGCTTCGGTAACTTCTATTCGAAATAAAACGCGCTTTGTAGCAAGCCCATTGACGTTTCTACGTTTTAATTGGCGTCCGCTCGTATTCAGATAACGATTTGCCAGTCACATTCGAGAACTATCGAGAAACGTTCGGGCGTTACATCTGATTCATCGCCGATTAAAACTTCCGCGTGACCTTCGTCCACGTTTTAATTACAAAACATTTCCACTTGACAATAAAACAAGAATATACTAGGAAATTATAGCTTCCTGGTAAAAATTCTGTCTGAAATTTAATCTATAAATTTTGGGAACTTGTACCTGTAAAATATAAATATAATATATGGAACTTCTCCATGGTCCGTGCTTCGGAATAATCGGAAATAAGTGAAACATAGATAAGATCTGTATTAATTTCTGTTAATTCCATCGAAATCACCAGAAAATTCCACTATACGGCTAAACGCAAATATACTACGCAGTTTGTACACCTATTCAAACAAAATCCTCTGCAAAATTTAACCTCTAATTTCGAAGCTTGTATCTGTAAAATTTGAATGCACCATATGGAACTTCTTCATGGTCCGTGCTTCGGAATAATCGGAAATAAGTGAAACATAGATACAATTTATATTAATTTCCGTTACTTGCATCGAAATTACCAGAAAATTCCACTATACGATAAAACGCAAATATACTACGCAGTTTGTACACCTATCCAAACAAAATCCTCTCCAAAATTTAACCTCTAAATTTCGAAGCATGTATCTGGAAAATTTGAATGTACCATGTGGAACTTCTCCATGGTCCGTGCTTCGGAATAATTGGAAATAAGTGAAATATAGATACGATTTATATTAATTTCAGTTACTACCATCGAAATTGCTAGAAAATTCCACTGTACAACCAAACACAAATATACCACGAAATTTGTACACTTTCTTAATACAAATTTTATTTAGATTTCGAAACTTGTACATAGACGAATTGAATGCACCATATAGAATTTCTCCATGGTCCGTGCTCCAGAATAGTCAGAAACAAAAGTAACATAGATAAGATCTATATATTAATTTCTATCACTTCCATGGAAATTGCTAGAAAATTCCACTATACGACTAAACGCAAATATACTACGCAGTTTGTACACCTATCCAAACAGAATCCTCTCCAAAATTTAACCTCTAAATTTCGATGCTTGTATCTGGAAAATTTAAATATATTACGTGGAATTTCTCCAAGGTCCGTGCTCTAGGATAACCACAGATAAAAGTAACATAGATACGAGCTATTCTAACCCCTGTTGCTTCCACCGAATTTACCAGAGGCAGACGTCTCTGTACAGTTACCCAGAAGATTCTAGCTGAGTCGAGAATGTTCGCTCACCTTCTCGATGCTTCCACCCCTTTCTCGAAAGTCGATACCCCTTCGCACCTTTCGCCGGTACTACGTAATTCCAAGTTCAGTCTCGTGAAACGTTTAATCGATCTCAAGGTTGGGATCGTGGCCCTTACTCCGCTCACCTTGCTCTGCTACCTCGTGGCAGAGAGGAAACCTTTTCTCGAAATAATGAAAGTTATGGTTCTTGGAAGGGCGCCTTTTTAACATGCGCTTCAAATTTAACGAAGTACTTTGTTGCAGCGTGCTTCGTTGCATTTTGCATGACTACTTGCAGTCTCCCGATAAATAGGTAATAGGTGTCTGCGCGTGTAGGTCGCTGGGAAGCACGTGGCGAATTTTAGAAGCAGTAAAAGTTGCAAAATTTTACTCTCCTCGCGAATGAATTTTCATCGTTTCTTATTTAAATTCATTTCGCTTCGATATTTCATTTCTTCCTATTTTTACTAAATAATACGAAGGGAATATTAAAAATTTGTGGAAAAGAAGAAATAACGAAATAGGATCTTGGACACGTTGATAAATAACTTTTATCTCTTCGATGACTGAAATAAGCCAAGATAGATCAATTATCAGTAATTCTAAGGAATGGAAAATTCCCTCCATGTATCTTAATTAATACTGATAAACGATAGGAAACACGATATTTAAAAATACATTTCTCAGTTCTTCTTTTAATCGCAACTCTGCGAGACTACCTATTTCGGGATCTCTGTAAAATTATCCATGGTGACATTCGAATATGTCGAATATGATTTTTCTGCTATAATTTTGATTGCTCAGGTAAAATGTGTGGAAGGCTTCTAATTTTAAACGAAATATATTTATCTTTAATTTCCGAATCTCTTTCACCAATTATTTCCCTTCAATTTTTCTTTAGTTATATTTTCCAACCAAATTCTTTCCGACCATAATTAATTTTCTCTTCCACAACCCACGTCGAACCTGGCTTTTTCGCAAAAATCACAAAGAGCAGCGGTTCTGCGTCACCGATATTTCTCAAGCGGTCCTCCATTTTCGCTATCGTTACGTTACCATTCCCATGCCATAACTCAACTTTCCCATCTAATACTCCCGGCAATCGAAACACCTATAAAACCAATCTGCCCGTATACACCGTTATAACCCAACGACCACGACGAAGACAGAGAAGAAGAGTCCCGGCAACCCTCGTCATCCCCCTCGTACCTTCCTGTTCGCGGGGAATAACAGTGACCACGGTGAAATCGACTGGAAAAACGACGTGGCTCGTTGAATCGCCCCGACGTTCGACTCTGATCAACCACTCCATGGGAATGGTCAGATGCGAGGGAAGAAAAACCGCGTAACGGACAGAGACAGCGTAAATGGAGAAGTATCGGGGACGAAGAAGATAACGAAAGTCGGGAAAAGAAGAAGCAGAGTTGATACAATACGAAAACAGAGGTTCGAAGGTGAGAAAAGCGACGATAGGTTGAAGTTGAGTGGAAGGAAATGAAAATACAACGGAGAAGAGAAGAAAACGAGGAAGAGAAGGGGGACCAGGTTCGAAGAGAAAGAAGAAAAAGAAAAGAAGCACCGAAATTGGTAAAATACGGAAAACATCGACTTGAACGAGAGAAAAGCGACGATAAATTGAAATTGAGTGTAAGGAAATGAAAATACAGCATAGAAAAGAAGAAAACGTACAAGAGAAGGTGAACCAGGTTCTAGGAGAAAGAAGAAAAATGTGGTTGAAAGAAAAGAAGCACTAGAATTGCTAAAATACGAAAAACAGCGACTTGAACGAGAGAAAAGCGACGATAAATTGAAATTGAGTGGAAGGAAATGAAAATACAGCATAGAAAAGAAGAAAACGCGGAAGAGAAGGGGAATCAGGTTCTAGGAGAAAGAAGAAAAATGTGGTTGAAAGAAA